AGGGCGGCCTCTCCAAGGCCGGGGCCGCTCCGGCGCCCAAGTTCTGCTCCATGGGAGCTGCCGCAGAGCGCGCCTACAATGCAGCGAGCAAATGCACATTGGTTCCAACGATCCAAAGCTAGCATGATTGAAAATGACCAGTGGTAATGCAACACTGCCTAGTTTGAGAGCAGAGCATGAGCATTCTAACACAGCAGCAGCTTCTTGAGACGCGATCAAAGATCGTCTCAGCCTGCATTGCAAACCATCGCGCTTGAGTTGCGCGCACTGCAGTGTGTGTCCAGCTCAGAAGCTTACCTGATCTGGTGCTTTGCAGGTCTTGGCCTTCTTGCCCGACGGCTCCGCTGTGTGCACGGGGCGCGCACGCCAGTTCAGAAACAGCAGTGGGCTCAAGACCGCGCCCGTCAGCAGCGGGGGAGTGCCGTCTGGCAGGACCAGAACGCTGACCCTCGTCTGTTCTTTACCCTTGACCAGCAGCTTCGCTTCTGAGAACTCGACACGCTGGTTCGCTAGATGGCAGCGCAGGCGGGCATTGAAGTAATTTGCATTGTCCTGGCCTTTAAGGCACCCACGCGCTGTACTCCGCAAATCTGTGTTCACTAAGCTGCGCAGCCTGTCGAGGCCCACGACGACGCGCTTCACGCGCTGCCCACGCAGATCGTTGTTCTTCAAGCCCCATTTGAGACTGCCTTCGTGTATCCAGATGTCTAGGACCTCGGGGGTCAGTGCTCCATATCGGACGGCTGGAAACAGGGCCACCCCTATCCACGGCTCGCATGCTCGCAGTCTAGCCCCCTCACTCTTGATTGCCCTAAAAAAGGCCTCAAAAGATGGCTATAGAACTGCAAATTTAAGAGACATGTATGTGGGAAACTTATACAGTAGGTCCATCTTGATATCGACAACACAAGCTGAGATTTGCAAAGCATTCTCCTAAGCTTTTGTCAAGAAAGTTGAGCCATTCTTCTTTATAATAGCTTTGGTGGTGAACCACTATTCTTCTTGAATTTCGTGGGAAGATGGTCAATTGACACTTCGGTTCCATCATGTCGAAGGTGGTCGAAGGTGGGGGCACATTCCACTAGGCCGGAAGGGGGGTCCCAACATAGGACTTTAAGAACAGAGCCGGTACGTACCGTAGTACGTAACTTACAAGATCCGTCCCGCCCGGGACCTTCCTCAAGCCACTTACCCATACTGACGGGCCGCCCGGTGAATCCAACGGTCCCCAGATTTCAAAGCATCGACCGGTTCATAAGGTAGGTAATATGTAGGTACCTAGTACTAGTACCTAGGTAGGTACGGTACTGCCTGTGGCCCGCGTACCTACCTGGAAGCGAGGTACCAGGCCTACGGTACCTACCTAGCTGCCTAGGCTAGCGCAAAGCTACGTACGGTACTACCATAGGTACTGTAGGTCCGTAGCCTTTACTGGGCAGTGTAAATTTGTCAATTTGGCCCGAACACTCCTCGAAGTTCGCAGTGTTTGTCACCCGTCAGTAACATTACGGGCATTCTCGCCTGCATGTTACGAGGCTGAAAGCAGGTGGTTTTCGGTACGAAACTACTTCCTAGGAAATTGCAATCGTCGGAACCGGCGCGGTTTCGGCCGAATTTTGCCCCATTTCCCCGGCAATTCTGCGCGCCGCATCAAAAGTTCGGGCGCAGTACTGGCGGGAGCACGGCGCACCGGCAAGTAATTATTCGTGCGATATTTGCACGGTTTGCGCGCGGAACCTGCCGCGATTTCCCCCCGGGCTGAAAAGCACCATAACTGCCCCGTGTGATCGGATCGTACAAGTGTCTAGCTTCACACATATGACCACTTTTGCAACGAGCTATAGAATTAGGGATGGGTATAATCTGTGTACTGAGATCTTTGGCACATGCCCGGGCTGCAGCTGCAACATGGCATGGTGATCTGATTCACTCTAGCTGGTCCGCACGAAACCTAGGATTAAGTTCGCGTGTGATCCTAGCACGAAATCTGCGTCGCACGAATCCTTTTAAGCATGTGGAGTCTAGAATCGTTCATGGCAGCCATGCAGAAGGCAATGTCTAAAATCGTGTGAACCAAGAGATGTTCATACGTTCAGACCATGGGAAGATGCAGTCCAGTGGTACTATAGAAGCTGTTGATGGAATGGGAGCTTGATACGGCAATCTTAAACGTACTCCGCACAGATATTAGGGACACTCTTCGGATCAGAATGATGGTCGGTAACAAAGATAATGTAGACTCGTACCCAAGACCTGAACAAATAATGTGTTTGTCGCCTGAAGCCGTTCGGGCTAAAGCCTCGACGAGGCAGGTCACAACTAGATAGATGGACTCGAGCCCAGTACTCTACAGCACAAAATTCCTCAATGAGGCTCTGCTAATCACATACGAAACGAACCATACCCCGCCACGTGTCACTGGTCCGTTTGGTCGTACGCGAACGCCACAGTGGACCAGAGATCGTCCTTCTCGCCACCGTCTGTCAGCCGGGTGCGCAGCTGCCGGCCCATCGTGGCTAAACTCTCGACAACACGGACCAAGGCCTGGTACCACCGCTCCTCGGATACCTGTACAAGGCAGCAGCGGTTGCCTGAGTCCGCAGAATCCCGGGTCTTGCTCTTATAACCTCTGATCTATCTGCTCTTGGTATCACTGCACGAATAAGGGAGGACCAACGGCAAGAAAACGAAACATTCTGACCGTCTAGTAAACTGCGAAGCAGCACGCGTTGCCGGCATGAGCGAAATAGCGAAGCGGCACCATGAAGCGAGAGTCCTTGAACCGATCGTTGCGTCCAAGGACTCCTTCCTGCCCTACCTCTTGATACTGCTTATTTCCAGCAGCGAACGGGAAACAGGAACCCCTATCTGTCAGTCGGAAGCCAAGTAAAATTGCCGTTCCACCTGCTGATCCGGTCGAATCATTCACAGAAAAGCATGAGCTCCTTCAGAGGTTACGCAGGTGCGGTCTGAGCATCCTGGGAAGTTCCAGCTGCGGGTAAAATGTAACCAATGTCACTGTCCATCTATTTGGTGTTCCTTCATTGCGAAGAAAACGAGTTTTTGGATGAAACGAAGTACACTGACAAGTACAAATCGCAAAGCGGATGTCTGCGCTTCACCTGCAGCTGTTCCAGCTCGGCCGCGATCTCCTCGCGGCGCTCCCCCTGCAGCACCCCCCGCAGCAGGGACACCGCGTCCCGCACGCTCTCGGAGACGGGCCCCGACTTCTGCAGGTCGCCCGTCGACTGCGCGAGCGCCTTGGCGAGCGCCCACCTGGATGCGACAACCGGGCCGCTGGGATGTTAGTTTGTTTTGAAGGGGATCTGCTTCTTAGCTTTGCCTTTGGGAAGGACAGCATCCTAACATACGAGACGGAAAACACTGGGGCAGAAACAAGTTGTATTGGTTCTGCAAAGGAAGGCAAAGCGTGGTCTTCCATGTCTGAAGGGCATCCTCGATGCAGCACGTTGAGTTTAAAACAGTTGCTACAAAGGCAGACTTCTCGTTGCTTTAGTTGGACTGGTCTGAGCCCGGGCCTTTCTACGTTCGGTAACACTCTGAAATCTGCCCTGTTAGGTACTTGTAAGCCCAGGAACCAGTGACTTAAAGAACCCAGAAGGTAATAACTCCCGGAAAACCCGCTAGATGCCCCCACCTGGTGGCGCTCATCCACTTGCGCGAGACCGACTCGCGGTCCAGCTTGCGCTTGCCCTCCTTGGCGTGCTGCTCGCGCTCCTCCTTTGCGTCCATTGAACCAGAGGCGATGCGCTCCAAGTAGTGCGCGTTGGCGGACCCAGTGCTCTGGACCAGCGAGTAGAACAGACCGCCCTTGTTCTTGAGCAGCTTCGCGGCGGAATCGAACTCGACGGCGCGCCCGTCGTCCAGGACCAAAATGCGGTCGCTATCGATGATCTGCAGGCAATATGATTGATGCATAAGTTTGATACGCAAAACATCTTCGGTGCCGTACGACGGTCGCATGAGGGAGTGATCCGATGATGTTTGGACAGGCAAGCGAGGTGGCGCGAATCCTCAGAGAGCTGACAAATGCGGTCGCTCCCAACAATCTGCGCACAGTATAATCAACGCTTGAGTGTGAGCCTCAAATCAACCGTTTGGTGCAGTAAGATAGACCCTTAGTACCGTGCCAAAAGGCATGCAAGGTTGCGCGACTTCTCCGAGAGCGGTGAGACACGCCGCGAGCGCTTTCCTGATAGGCACTTTTGCGAATGTGTCAGGACTAGACATGCCCTCTTTGCCGAAGCTCTAGACGTCAAAAGTACAGAGGCGAGAGACCTTTTTGGAAAGAGATCAATGTTTCAGGATCGGGTCACTATATCCAGCCGGGATCTGCAGTCTGTTGCATCCACTACAAGAGTATTTTGAGTCACAAGCCTCACCGTGTTGAGGCGATGGGCGATCGTGAGCAGGGTGCAATTCTTAAACTCCTCTCGGATCGTCTTCTGGATCAGCGAGTCGGTGGCAATGTCCACCGCCGCCGTCGCTTCGTCCAACACTGCACGACAAAGGTAGTCGCATTGGTCACGTACACTTTTGAAAAGTCAGCGCTTTCGACACAATTCTGACGGCGCTAGACAGGCCACAGTGCCACGAACGTTACAAGGTTGACTATAAACAGCACTTCCCGACGAACTTTCCCAACTGGAACTACCTGTCTTCTACTGCACACGGCGGTAAGAGTCAAAGTGCTATACACTCAAGCGGAGTGTATGGAATATGATGTCCGCGAGTAGCCATGAAGAGGCCGTCACGCCGCTTGACACGTGGCTCACCCAGGATCTTGGATCTTCTGACGAGGGCACGTGCCAAGCTCACGAGCTGCCGCTGACCCACGCTGAAGTTCTCGCCTCCTTCGGTCACCTGGACAATGCGAAGGGGTTAGTGCAAGAATAACTAATCATAATTGCACGAGTGTGATGTACTCTGTCTGGGCTTTTGACGGGCGTGCAGGCACTTCCGTGCCTGCTATTTCGTTTTCTTCAGGCTCTTGATTCAAGATTTTTGATGAGCAAAAGGAGAGAAACTAAAAAACGTGTTGAGAGGACTTCCTACAACGCAAAAACAACACTTTAGTCGGTTTCATTCAACGACTTGACACCCACGTCGGCACAGTCGAGGAGCCAGCCTCGGCAGCCCACCTCGGTGTCAAGCCCCAGGGGGCTCTTGGCGATTACAGGCTTGAGGTGCGCGCGCTCGAGCGCCTCCCAAAGCTCCCCATCGGGATGCTCGTTAAACGGGTCCAAGTTAAAGCGGATGGTCCCGGTGAAGAGCACCGGAGTTTGCGGGATGATGCTCAGTTTGCGGCGCAGGTCGGCGAGCCCGATCGTCGCGATATTGATGCCGTCGATGTCGATCTCGCCGGACTCAATCTCGACCATGCGGAACAGGGTGTTGAAAATGGTGGACTTGCCGGCGCCAGTGCGACCGACAACGCCCACCTGGCAGAAGAACGATACCGAGTTCTCAGTCTTGCTAAAGGTGCTAACTTTTGTGCTCTTGAGGTTCTCCTTCCCGAGTCCGCTTAAAGCCGTCGACAGGATGTGGACAAGAAAACGATCGCTCTGGCAAGGAACGGCGGTAGAATCCATCCATCTACACTTGGACAACAAGCAACTTGCAACGGCTTCATGCTGCTGATCTGGGTCGCTGTTCATCCGCGTGCGATGTCCGTCGGCTTTTCGAAGGGTCAAAGCGAGCAATTCTCTGTCTTAGGTTGAATAATGCAGTTATCGTGCTGGCTGCCGTTTCTGAGTTGCTTTTGAGTTGATAATCGACCCTCAGAAGCCGGAAATTGAGCAGCCCACCTTCTCTGCTGGCTTGATCGACACGGTCAGCCCCTTGAGCACCGGCGGCAATTCGGGGCGGTACCGCATGACCACGTCCTTGAACTCAATCGCCCCCTTGTCGGGCCACCCGGGGGGGGGTCGGTGGTCGGGGATCACCTCCGGGCCCTCAGGGGGGATCTCGGTATACTCCCCGATCCGCTCTACCGAGTTGAAGCTGTTCTCGAACAGACTCGCGAGCCGCAGAGTCATCGTCATCAGACTGGTGATGCTCAGCGCATAGCTCAGAATCAGTCCGATCTGCGGCGCGGCTTTCGCGCGCGCGTCCGCGTCGGTGTTGCCTTGGCCGAGCACCGCGAAGATTGCGGTGGCGAG